TGGAAAGCCTTAAAGGCCTTATATTCACTGCTAGTCAAAATATCAGGTGCGATAACTACTACACCAGACTTTCTCCCTCAAGCCGCAGTCATTTGTCTTATCAGAGGTATTTTCATAAACAATCAGAATTAATCTGGTTTCAGTAGTTTAATTATCAACTGTTGGCTCCACTTATTCCAGCCAAACATTTTTAAGCGCAAAACTGTACGAGATTTAGAAATTAACTTTTTACCTAAGCAAGCTGAACATAATTTTAATTTTGCATTTGAAAAACTAAAGATGCTTGTAGTATACAATCAATATGAAAGTATTTTTTCCATATCCAATCCTGGATAACTGGGTAACAGTATTTTAATGCTTATAACTGGCGCTACTATTCCTTTCTAATTTTATTCCTTAGATGGTTACTCTCTAAATAGTTTTCCGATACGTTCGTAGAATCAAGGAAAAGATTAAGGTGAATGAAAATTGAAGCTACTCTATGTTTACTACTTACACAAAGGATATAGCAATCAAATTACGAAATATGTCAATCAAATATCATATCGGACATGTAATCTGAAAGAAGCTATTGCATGTTGAGCTTTTGTAGGATCGAGTACGCACACATATTATACTTAATATCTTGATTTGTAACTTGATCGATCAATCATATTTACGGAAAAGAATAGCATCGCTTTCATTTCTATAGGCTATCAATCAGTACTAATGATAAACAGCATCTTGACTTGATTGACACCTTATTATCCTTGATCTATAATATGAATGATATAAATAATTTACTTATAATCTTACTCAGTCAAGGTAAACGAAGAAGAATAGAATACATATATAAGTGAATAGTACAGTAATAAATAATAGTCTAATCCTATGTGAATTATATTATTACTCAATATAAATGCTAGTAATATAACAGCAAGCCAATTAGATAACTGCCTAATTTTTTTATTCAGTACTCGTTTACAAGACAATAACTTATAAAGTAAATGTAAAGGAATTTAATCGTAATCTTCTTATTAGTACCACAATAAGCCAATGTTTTTCTTTTGATTGATGGCTATTTATCTGCGCTGCAACTGTCAAATCGGAAATAGTAATATTAATTAAGTAAATTGTTAGATAATAAATAGTAAATAGCAAAACATCAGCTCTGTTCTTGATTGCACAGTATTGACGTAATGTATTCTGTTTACAACATTCTTTACTATAAACGCTGTATAGAAATAACAATCATAGTATAGCAGATAATATTAAACAGGAAGTAACACTAAGTAACAGCTTTGATAGTAATAAATGAGCTTAAGTAACCTAAGGCGACTATATTTACGAGACGAAATATTATTAATCGTATTGTTTTGTAGTAAGTTATTAATAGTTACTTTTAAATATTGTTGTTTTAATCGAATTGCGCAGATTATTTACGATGATATTCAGCTATTTTAAATTTTTACTTCTCTAGGCTAATGAGATAAAACAGAAGTCAATCATTTTTAAAATTCCGCAGCAAAAATTATTTCATTTACTAACCTATGTGCATCCTTCTAAACTGCAGTCAGATACGCTTTTTCTGTATTCGAACCCAATTCTGTTCTTTACTGACTAAAGTCTACATTAGGGTATCCAAATAATAATGGCTTTAGAATTAGAATTGATTTATAACTGAGTTCATTCATGCTACAGTTTCAAAAATAAAATAATTAATATGCTGGAATTGACTTGCCCATACAGATAAAAAATCATTCCAGTTTCCATTAGATTACAGTTGTAATGCTTGCAGATTCCTTCTATACTAGCAGCAAATCCTGTATTTATATAATTTCAAAAATAGCAAAGCCAGCGATATATACTGTAGGTATTGTTGAATTCTCTTAAGTCTAAATATAAATAGCTATGTATTTTCTATGCCTATTTTTGGTCGAAGAAGCAAAATTAAATCGCCAATTCGGTAACTTTATCTATTTTGTTAAAAAGTTACGAGCTATTTTGATAAACAGTATTAATGATGCTACTTATAAAAGTATCGCTTAACCAATTAACAATAGAAGCATCGTGATGGTGACGAATATCCAAAAGGATTTGCGTTATTAAAATAGATATGTGAAGATATGCAACAATATATACTATTTATAACAGAATTATGGCAAGATACTTAGATTAAAAGGATGATGACAATACAGGTATTGAAAAATTTAAATTTGATGATGAAGAAACTGATTTGCTTTCGTTGTCTACTCAGTTACGACAAATGATAATGTCTGAAGCTTTTTATTCTAACAGCTTAAAGGACGATATCAAATAGAAAAATTAAAATACAATAGTACAATATAATTACACTCCAGTTGAAAAGAAAACTATCAATTCAGATTTTAAAGCTAGATTAAGTTATTCGCTTCATATGATTAAAATAAAAGTAATTCATAATTGCGCTGTCAATCAACATTTAATAGCGCATAGATGATAATATTCAATTGCCTTAGTTTTAATTTAATGTCCATGAAAATATATTATTTAAATACAATAAGCTTAGCATACACAATAAACATAATATATGATGTCTTGACATTTGTCTATAAATTAAAATTATATATTATGCTGCATAATAATAAATCAGTTGCGCGGTTGCGCTAATTCGCATGTAATATTCTGGTAATACGGGAATATAATTTATAGTTAAATGAGGTTGATGACACTTTTTTTGAAAATTCCTAGAACTATTATTTAGCGGAACTATGATTGACGTACAAATTACTTCAGATAAAGTTATTGTAATTTATTTATCAATCAACTCAAAATGAAGATATTTATGGTAGTAATGTCTTATTTATATAACCTATTTAAAACTGATAAAGACATAAACACTAGATTTAGTTTAATGCCCAGTATCAAAATAAAAAATAATGGTTGATGTCGTCATTTGAACGTGATGAATTATTTTTTCTATTATTAATTTTTTATAATTGTTCAAAAGATAAATAAAATAGTACGTGATCGCACTTAGTCGGATTAGCATAATGGGAAATGCTTCCAAAATCTAGAACTTATGGTGGTAATGTCTTATTTATGTTGCCTATTTAAATCTGATAAAGGTATAAACATTATGTTGAATGAATGCACAATGGTAAAGTGAGAAATAATGGTTCGCGATGTCATATCAACGTAATCAATCGTTTATTTTTCTGCTATTACTTAGAATTGTTGTGAAGATAAATAAAATAGTACGTGATCGCATTAAGTCAAATATACCACACATACATGGACAATGGAATCCAGTAATACTAGCAGCTGCTTTTGTAGCTACCTTAAATAATTTATTAATAATCAAATTCCATGCATGGAATACTCGCAATTCACGATAATTATTCAGTTGGGCTATGGCGCTTTGCCCTAACGGCCTACAGTAGAAGATATAGTAAAACAGTACATAACTACACAGAGCCAGATGTGCATAAGCCAAGACTATACACACGAACGTGGTGGATATATCCATCAAAACTAGGGAACTTATATTGTAGCCGATTTAAATATTTACGAAAGTTAACCAAATTTTTCGAGTGATCTATTCGTAATATAGATCGATCTTTAGTTTAGCCACGATCCTGCTTACTACTTAATTAATCTTCTCATACGTTGGCCGTAATGCAGCCTATCTAATCAAATTCAATAAACAGATTTTATGAACATCCTTCCATGTTGAGGCATGAGATACGGCCCTGATTTTCTTGTATTATTAATCACGGTTTATGAAATAAGCAGATATTGGGGATTGGCTAGATGTTTTTGATAAATATTCGATTGATAATTATATTCAGTATATCCTTAGCAGAATAACTAATAATTGACTTCTTCCAATTATTAACTTTCGGATCTGCAATGCTCTCTGGCTGTAGTAATATTCTTACCGTACACAATCCTGTATTGGAGCACAAGAAATGCAGATATATCAAAGCTCCGAATGATGACCATGAGCGGAATACACTACAGGTATGTTACTGTAATTAATGACAGTCATTTCTGTGCACTCTAACAATTATTAGCTTTCATTACCGTAGTTGTAAAATTTAAGAATATTCGAATTTATTATCCAGTTAATTTACTGCAATTAGCTAAGGAAGATCAAGCTTATTAGAAGATAACAGTAAAATAACATTACGAAGAAATGGCCGGAGTATTCAGTTTATAAATTCTATGCTTTGCTTGTTTGAAAGTGAAACTAAGATATGGCTCCGTAATATAATTTAAGAAGATCGACGTTGCAATATCAAATACGGTGCAACTGAATTTCTCATGCAGCAATATCCTACACGAAGCAAAGTTGGACAAGCACTACGAATTCACCGATATATTCGGATCACTAAAAGATATCCAAGTAATTCAGTGATGATTACATTTCTGCTAATAGGACTAGCAGGAGAGATTGCAGCCACTTTAGATTCCCTAATGTTACAATAGTCATATTCACCATTATTTCCTGATAACTGAAGATATTTAGAAAGTTAAATTATGAATTCATCTAGGTTAACAAGACTAGCACGAAAGATTTTAGCAATCTAAATGGTCCAATATTCGTATTCGAGATGCGTATTATGTGACTGTTAATGTATCGGTTGGTGTTTACGTAGTAGAAAAAATTTTAGTCTATGTGAAGCAGCAATTTAATAACAACCATGTTTCCAAAGGCAAGAAAACTACTCCAGTTGAACATTTAATTTTTAACTAGAATTTTTATTTTGAATATACAGTATGATGTCTTGGATAAAATCAAATACAGTGCAAGTGGTATTATATGATTTATTACCTCACTAAATGTTCTATCTGTAGAAACAGTAATAATTAAGCTATTGGTTATTGCTCGCTAAGCTACATTCCTAACTCTATAGATATAGAAATCATATTGTTAATGCAAACAAATCATGACTGCAATCCTTTCATAACAGATTCAAGTGAATCATAGAACACCCTTAATGGACATCGCCTACTAAGATAAGTAGTTTACTTTCATTTTATGCTGATGCTAAAGCTTCACGTCCATGTTTGCCTGAGAAATCAACAACGGGTCCTCTGGGAAGAATGTTAGTTGGTTTCTGCTTTCGGTCGCTCAACTATAATATAGAGGATAAAAAGAGTTGTTCAACATGTTTGCATTCATTGCGATCAAGGACTTGCAATGGTAGGATTGTAGTTGAGTTAGGTAATATAAGCGATTCAATGTCATGAATATCCCATGAAATGCTTGTTAAGCATTAATATTAATGATTTCTAGTTATTACAAGTATCCTTGACATTGAAAACAAGGCATACTTACAAAGTACATTTTCCTGATGTGATCAGCGTTGACCGTATCTCCAAAGCTGGGAGTTTGATAAAGATCTCGCAAATAACCCCAGATATTTGGATAGTCAGCGATTCGCTTGAAATTGCACTGCAATAATAAATTCAATTTTATTGCAAAAGTATTGCTATCAGCGGCGTATACTATCAACTTTATAGTAATGAGAAAGGAAACTATCAAAGGTTGCTATCATGTATGTAGGCACTACTGCATTGTAGTAATTAGTAGCCATAATCTTTCAATTAATTGAAGTCATTTTCTGACTGTGAATCACTAATTCATCAATACTAATATTAACCTTGAAGATTGTGTAAAAGGCAAGATCAAAGCGAACCAATGCTACGAATAACTTGATGTCAGCATGTGTGAATGAATTTCCGGTCAAGTAGCGACTTTTGGATAGGTGTTTTTCCAATCGGTCAAGATTTTCATACAGGGAATCGCTAGCCTTGTCGTAATTTTCTTGCGAAGTAGCAAATCCAACACGATAAGGTCCAGTAATGATATTCCTATTTGATCAATACAGAATCATCATTTGGAAATTTGCATTCACAACACTCGTCTGAAATCTGCACTGTCCACTTGTCCAGTAGGACAAGGGGCTAAATCATAAGAATGTGTCAATACATCGTTACTGCGACTAAAATGTTGCGTTCATTTGAATGCAAAAAGTAGTTGGTTTTGCATACAGACAGCAATCATGACGACATTTGAAATGGAATATGATCTGAGGTCAATCCAATGGATAACTGATTGATCGTCTACAGAGCTGTATAACCTTAGTGGCTCGGAACAGTTGGCGTTGTATCTGCACGAAGCAGGAATGCAACATCAGTATCGATCAACATCACAGTACTTACGGTGATATCCATGATAGTAATTCTTTGGCAGCTTCTTCATGTTCCTTAGGGAATATATTGAGGTCCTTTTGCTCTTGAGTTGGACAAAATTCATTGAACTCACTGTTTAACATCTCCAAAATTTCGGCAGATTCGTTGTTGACGATGACTTTCTTGACTTTATCATACAGCACAGGGATGGTAATTTTACCGCTAAAGTTGGGATTTGTCTGCATATAAGTTTCTTTAAGGAATTTAAAGCCATTAATGGAATCTTTGGTGCAATTCTCTTCCGTATCGTCAAATAGCCAACCATTTTCATGCACATACCAGTGGGTGGTGTCCATACTGATGACATCTTGCAAACCTTTTAACATTCTCATGATGATGACTCGATGCGCATAAGGGCAACCAGGGTTAACGTATAAATGATATCTGCCCTTGGCCACTGGAAATTCGCCAGATCCATCCTTGGAAACTCGGCCATTAAAACTAGTCACTTCTTTCTTGGTAGACATGATCCAACAGCGTTTTAAAGTGATCCTAATCCAACGAGAAAATCGATTTCAACACTTTGGAAACAGCTAGCTTGGGATTTGCTAACTTATGACTCAGCATGTCCAATAGCTCACCTCCAACTATTGGCTAGCCAATTTCTACTGTACTGACCATGCGCTAAAACCAGACACAATAGAGGTCAACCTCCACGGTTGACATCGATTCATCTTGAGCCAATCGATGGGAAGTAGCCTTGCCGCACAGGCAACGCAGCGAAGCGTTCAATGCCCATACTGTTTATTCATTTGGGGGGTCAGAAATGAGCACTACCCTACCGTAGAATCCTTCTTTCGATCACGTGATGATAACGATGATGAAGCATTTTTAATGTTGTTTATTGCATGTTACAGTCCACTAGAAGCACCTTACAGTACAGTAGACAATTTTCTTCCAGCAGTCCATGGTACTGAAGTAGCGCCTGATGCTTCGCTGTGCAGTGAACAGTAAGATCCTTTTCCAATCCGATGCGTTAGCACTTCTTATATATATGCGGGCCCTTTCTTGGCAAAATCCGGTCAATTTTGGATATGTGGAAATGGCGAATACTGAAGTGTCTAACTTCATATTCAAGAATTGGAAAAAGATCACGCTGAGCGTGTTTGCATTCGCTTTAGAATAGAAGAATTCTTTTTAAATGCTATCATCAATATCAAAACTGGATCGATTTTATTCTAGCATGTTGAAATCACTTTAATAATAATAATTGCAACAAAGGAAGTCGATTTTTTACATCAAAATTCTAAAACGAAGGTGAACATGCTATACAGTTCATGTAGTACTGTATGGGTACACTAGACAATAGAGTAAAACGATGGCTGATATTGCCGTATCTCATAGATGTATCTGCAAAATGGAGATATACGACCTACAGCATACGACTATGACGAACAGGCTAGGATACTCTATCACTTACAGCACTAAATGACAGTGCATTCTTAAATAGTCCATGGCAGTACTTCAGTATTTAAGCTAGTTGATTCTTGCAGCAGTCCCTTATGTATTCAATCACGTACAGCTCACTAAATGACAATGCACTTTTTGCTAGCTTCTTGTCGTAGTCTCATATACTCAACCCCTTGCAGCAGCAAATGACAGTGCATTTTGAAATAGTTAGACTTAATTAAGTAGATGTATCTGCAAAATGGAGATATATGACCTACAGCATACGACTCTGACGAACAGGCTAGGATACTCTATCACTCACAGCACTAAATGGCAGTGCATTCTTAAATAGTCCATGGCAGTACTTCAGTATTTAAGCTAGTTGATTCTTGCAGCAGTCCCTTATGTATTCAATCACGTACAGCTCACTAAATGACAATGCACTTTTTGCTAGCTTCTTGTCGTAGTCTCATATACTCAACCCCTTGCAGCAGCAAATGACAGTGCATTTTGAAATAGTTAGACTTAATTAAGTAGATGTATCTGCAAAATGGAGATATATGACCTACAGCATACGACTCTGACGAACAGGCTAGGATACTCTATCACTCACAGCACTAAATGGCAGTGCATTCTTAAATAGTCCATGGCAGTACTTCAGTATTTAAGCTAGTTGATTCTTACAGTAGTCCCTTATGTATTCAATCACGTACAGCTTGCTAAATGACAATGCATTTTTTGCTACCTTCTTGTCGTAGTCTCTTATACTTAACCCCTTGCAGCAGCAAATGACAGTGCATTTTGAAATAGTCTATAGTTAGAATTACTTAATTAAGTCATCGTAGACGTTACTATGGAACTCGTATACCTATCTGCAAAATGATAGATAGACGCTTATCAATAACAGGCTGTCTAAGCGCACTAACGCATGTCATGAATTTGCACTACCTGATACTATAGGATATGAAAGAGAACTTAACTCATACTTTACAGTACTTTAAAGTATGACTTACCATACTCATGAATTATGCAAGTAAAGCCAAAATGCAATCGATATGTAATTTTAATTCACAGAAGCACAAAGTAGCTATTAGATCGCGAATGGGACAGATGCAGCCTTGCAATAGGATTACTGGTATTGCTCATCATGCAACAGCGAGCTTTTACTATTGTTATCATGTATCGCCTAATTGGATTGCATTAGGATACATATTCATCATCAATTTCACCAAAAGGTCAAAATAGATACACGTACTTAATGATAATTAATCAAGGATTGATTTAAATTGGATGAGAATAACAGACAATAGTGTTGGTAAAAGCTCCAAATACCTGACATAATATTAAAAATATAATATAAATACCGTCCAATATTATGGTAATATAGCTAAAAAGAATGAAGCACACGGTATTAGTCTTCAAATTCAAGTTGACCCTCTTCAATTTTTCCATAACTAGAAGTAATAATTAAACGTGATTCCCGTGTGTGTAGATTTGAGCATAAGAATCACCTAAAGTAGAACAGACTATTTTAGAGTGTACTTATTAAAAGTATTTTTACTGCATTGAATTTAAGAACTTAACGAATTCAACTGCACTTTAGCTTTAGCCAATTCTAAACGAATGTGCTTTCATCATATTATGCGTATAACATAGAAGATCTCGAAATTTAATTAGAATACCTATACCTTAATGATTAATTAAAGAAAGGAAAACACAACTTTGACGTAGAGTGCGACTCTGTGTCATAGTACTGTGAGGAATTACGTACATGTATTGTAATTATTGGTTTCCAACGTATAAAGCATTACTCAATCTAAAACCATTTCGAAGATAGAACTAAAGTAAAAAATTTCATTAAAGGAAAAAATCTAAAAATCTTACAAATAGTAAAGACTTAATATTGTAGAATTTCTAATAGAACATTGTCCAAAATATATTTCGTCATATTGTTTTATTATTATACTTTGATAATTAATCTATGATTCTATACATGATTATTTTACCATGACGTTTACGTACTACAGCTAATTGAGCTAGTAAAGTTCTAATTGCTGTTATAAATCTAATATCAAAATAATTACAGCCTTTATCGTATACAAATATTGTAGTATTATCAGGTCTACCTGAAGATTAAAATGTCTATGCAACTATCTATCACCTCCTGATATGTCCCTTATGTGAAAGTTATCTTCTGCAAACTGACTAATACCCAAAGCATACTTGTACAGTACATGCATCACTTTGCCGGTGATATCAAGTGTTTTAAATAATAGCGTAAGATATTAAAATCGAAAAACTCTCAATGCATTGCAAATACTAAGATATAAATAGCTAAGATGTTTCTTAAATCAATAACTAGCTGCAAGCTGCAGCCCTATATCTTGAAGACAATGTACTGTCATATTACTAGGCCAAATGATCGCACACATATACGCGTTCTCTATTCTGAAGCGAGTACTTCACGTCCATGTTTGCCAGTAAAGTCGATAATTGGTCCTTTAGGACAGATTTTAGTCGGCTGTTGCTTTTTGTCGCTCACCTATAACGCGTAGGATACAAAAAAAACAATCCTTATATAGAACTACGCAGCTTTAATCAGAGCACGGTAAACAAATAAACTTAAAATAGCACAGAAAACTAATACAATAAAAAATTCCAATTTTTATCGCAAAAAATATGTTAAATAACAATAGCAACAATTGCAAATAATTTTAAGTGTACAAAGTAATACAAATATGATATTCACTTACATGGTATAACTTTTTGATATGCTCAATATTAACCGTTTCTTTAAAGCCTGGAGATTGATAGAGATCTCGCAAATAGCCCCAAATGTTTGGATAATCAACGATACGCTTTATACAGCACTACAATTTCACCACAAACGAAACTCAATCAATTCCAATTCAGAATCAAGAAATAACGTTAAAGTAGCGGAGCTTGTCAATTTTATCTTTAGACTATTCACCTTTACTGTATAATCTTAAATCGGTACTATTATCATAGTATTATCATGTATTTAACTACTATATAGTTAGAAATGTTCAGTACTGATGGAACCAACCTTATACGCTAGGTAATATGCCACATCGAAGCGCACTAAAGTCACAAATAACTTGACATCTGCGTGCGTTATAGTCTTTCCTGTTAAGTAACGACGATTAGAAAGGTGCTCTTCCAATCGATCGAGATTCTTGAATAAAGTATCGACAGATTGATCATAGCTTTCTTGATTTTTGGCATTAGCAACATAATAGACTCCGAAAATAATATTTCTAGTAATTCATGAATAATGTATAAGGACGAAAATCTGATTAGTCATGGTGAAAATCGTGATTTATCTATCAATACCGTCGTAATGAGCGTAAGTAAATGATCTAAAATGTTGCAAAGTTTAGCAAGCTTGCAATAAGTTTGTAATTATGTTCGTTTCGTAGACATTCAATTCTGATCTTTGTAATAGCACTTACTGGAAGTACATATACCAAGCATCACTTACGGTGTTATCCAGCTTAATAGCTCGTTGGCCGTTTCTTCATGCTCTTTAGAATATAAATTTAAATCCTTTTGCTCTTGAGTAGAGCAAAATTCATTAAATTCGCTGTTTAGAATTTCCATAATTTCGGCAGATTCGTTATTAACGATGACCTTGTTAACCTTATCGTAAAGTACGGGTACAGTAATTTTACCGCTATAATTTGCATTAGTCTGTTCGTAAGCCTCTCTTAAAAATTTGAAGCCATTAACTGTGTCTTTAGTACACGTATCTACTGTCTCGTCGAAAAACCAACCGTTTTCATGAATATACCAGTGTGTAATATCCATCGTAATGATATCTTCTAAACCTTTCAACGTTCTTGTAATCATGGTTCGGTGTGCAAAGGGACAACCTGAGCTAACATACAAATGGTATCTACCTTTCTGTGCTGGAAATTGGCCAGATCCATCCTTAGAAACACGACCGTTAAAACTTGTAATTTTCTTAACACTATCACTTCCTTGGTCAGACATTTTTCAATTCGAATTGAAAGTAATGCTATTCTATAAAAATAATACAGAAATCGAGAAGTTCTTTTACGCTGCAGTAACCATTAATATTTAAAGAGCTATGCCTAAGCAATATTATACGTAATACCTCACGTAAACGATAAAAATCAACTTTGATCGGGTAGCTTCGTCCAAATAGCACCAGAGAATTAAAATAATGCACTATCATGATCTGCAATACTATTAATACCACCTATCAAAGTGCAGAATACCTGATTGGCAATTACCCTCCTCCTTCTTTTGTCAACCTAATACAGGGAACAATACCGGTACAAAGTTAATAATTAGTTTAATTAATTATGCAAGAGTTTTTATCGCCCTTGCAGTAAGTAAGTATGAGAGAAGTAAAATGATAGTGTGCTTTGCGGCGACGCTGTGGTACAGCAACGATTTGGAGGCGTTTACGATTAATTAATTATCCATAAGTTCAATAGTAACAACTAGAGTTGTACAAGCCTAGTAACAATACTATGAGGCGTAGTAATATTGTGAATTCCCAAGTTAGACCATAGCGAAATGTTTAAATTGAATATGAAGATTGCTCTTTTTCATATCATTACAAGCTGTGTATTAGTTACAGTTTAGTGGGGAATGCTGCATTGTATCGTTTGATTTTTTTCTTGACATTAAATATACAAAACAATTGTTTAAATTCAGATTTTAAATGATAACAAAATAAAATTTGTATCAATTAGTCGTATACTGAATTTTTAAGTAGCTCGAACAACACTTTTCGTAAGTGAATTTATATTTTTAGAACATTATAGGATTCTATTGGACACTAGAGAGAATATCATAAATATTATTTTTGCGTAGCGCTTACAAATAGATCTTTTGCCGCTCAATTTGTCCTCTTTCATTACCTATTACGATTTATTTAAGCTTATTGAATTAGCAAGATTTAAAGATTATCTAAGACATGACTCGACTTCGAGGATTAACCATAACACAGCAAGCTAGACACTAAATTTAATCATTATAGCAAAATTAATTGATTGACTGTGTACCGTTCGAATATACACTGTCTATTTATGAATGTATAGCATGCTATAATGATATACAAATGACGGACTTAAATTAGAGGGTATAATTGCTACTTATTACTGTTGCATAAAGCGTAAGATCGGAACTAGCTACTTGTTAATAAAAGATTAATTTGGGATTAAGATTATCACTTCCGCTAATGTAGATATTGCAAACAATAAATAGTATTTGATAATCTCAATGGTCAAATAAATAGTGCGAATCAGTCGATCATGAAATATAAACGTATTTTGTTAGATACTTTCCAGTAGAGCTATCTTGAACGGTACTGGAAGTACGTATAATTAAGAATAAATTTCAAATTTATTATTCTGACACTATAGTATCAAGTGATAATAATAGCAAGTTAGGATTAGTACGTAGAAATTTTAATATATGAATTTTATTTAGGGAAGTAGTGTATGCTAGTTGTTGTATATTTACAGTATCGAAGAGTGACCAAGTGTATAGAAGGGTGTAACAGCAGTATACTGTAATATAGACTGAAAATATATGAACAATTTAGTAGCTAGCTGTATTACATGTAGTGTTAGATATCGTTATAACTACTATCTTCATGAGTTAACTAGCTATTAATCATAGCCGTCATCAAATCTCCGCAAACGTTCTTCAACGTCCTTAACTTAAATAAATCCTAAGAGTTATCTATTGCATTAAACATTGTAGCATAAATTGCTTTAATAATTTGCATGCAATAGATTATTGAATTAATAAAGAAGGAACTTGCCATGTACCGCTTTTGAGCTAAGCCGAATGATCATTGAAGTATCCCAAGTTATTTAACAATTTTACCTACTATATTGCCGCTTATTAAATTTGAACGCTTAGTATCGTATTATACGACTGTGAAACTTTTATACGTCGACAACTAAGTAACTTGCTTAAAAATCTTAAGCAAGTTTCCTGTAAGCATTTATTTAGCTCAATGAGATATACCAGTAAAATGGAATTGCTATCAAATTATCGAAATTAATTAAGAATGTGTATACCTTAATGATTAAAGAAAGGCAAATACAAGTTCGACGTAGAGTACGAAACCGTATGATGGTACAGTGATGAATTGCGTGCATTTAATAATTACTTTACACTGTATAAAGCTTTACCCATTCTAAAACATTTCGAAGATAGAACTAAAGTAAAAATTTCTCATTGAAGGTAAAATTTAGAATCATATAGATATTAAACTTAAAATTGTAGAATTTCTAATAGAACATTATCCAAAATCTATTTCGTCATATTTTTTTTATTATTGTATTTTGATAATCAATAATGAAACACATACTTTTTTACCATAACATCTACATACTACAAATTAAGCTAGATAAGTTCTTATTACAGCCTTTACGCTATATAATTATTTTAGCATTGTCTGGCCTACCTGTAGATTAAAATGTCTATACAACTACGTATCATCTCTTGATATGCGCTTTATGTGAAAGTTATCTACCGCAATTGAATAGTGCCCTAAGTATATTTGTATGTTCATCAGCTTGACGAGAATATCAAATTTTTCAAATAATAGTGTAAGATGTTAAAACCTAAAACTCTCAGTAAATTTCAAATACTAAGATCTAAATAGCTAAGATGTTTCTTAAATGACTAGAAACGAGCTGTAGTGCTATATCTCTAAAACAGTCTTTATGCCAGTTATAGATATCTTTACATTTCTCTTAATGATTAATTTACCGTAATTGCAGCGACTGTACTGTCATTTTACTACGCCAACTAATTGCACACATGTATTCTATGCTGATGCTAATGCTTCACGTCCATGCTTGCCAGTAAAGTCGACAACTGGTCCTTTAGGACAGATTTTAGTAGGCTTCTGTTTTTTGTCGCTCACCTACAATACATCAGATAAATAAAAGTTTATACAGTGCTACGTAGCTTTAATCAGAGTAAACTAATAAACTTAAAAAAGTAGAAGTTAAAACCAATACAATAACAAATTTAAATTTTTATCGTAAAATAAGTTAAATTGCAATATCCGCAATTTCTAATAATTTCAAGTGTACAAAGCAATGTAAATAAGATATTCACTTACATGGTATAAATTCTTAATGTGCTCAATATTAACCGTTTCTCCAAAGCCTGGAGATTGATAAAGATCTCGCAAATAGCCCCAAATGTTTGGATAATCAGCAATACGTTTTGTATTACACTACCATTTCATCACAGAAGAAACTCAATCAATTATAATTCACAATCAAGAAATAGTGTTAAAGTAACTGAGCCTGCCAAATTTTATCGTAAGACTATTTACATTTACTGCATAGTCTTAGGTTGGTATTATTTTCATAGCATTATTATATATTTAGCACAAAGTTAGAAACGCTCAGAACTGATAACTAACCTTATACACCACGTAATATGCCACATCGAAACGAACTAATGCTACAAATAACTTGACATCTGCGTGCGTTATAGTCTTTCCTGTTAGGTAACGACGATTAGAAAGGTGTTTTTCTAATCGATCGAGATTCTCGAATAGAGTATCGACAGATTGATTATAACTTTCTTGATCAGTGGCATTGCCAACACGATAAACTCCAGTAATAATGTTTCTAGTCATTCATGAATAATGTATAAGGACGAAAATCTGATTAGTCATGGTGAAGACCATGATCTAATATATTGCACTTGACAAGTTTACGACTATATTCGTATCGTACTGTAGACATTCAACTCTGATCATAGTAATAGCACTTTGCTGAAAGTGCACTAAGTATCGCTTACGGTAATATCCAGCTTAATAGCTCGTTGGCCGTTTCTTCATGCTCTTTAGAATATAAATTTAAATCCTTTTGCTCTTGAGTAGAGCAAAATTCATTAAATTCGCTGTTTAGAATTTCCATGATTTCGGCAGATTCGTTATTAACGATGACCTTGTTAACCTTGTCGTAAAGTACTGGTACGGTAATTCTACCGCTATAATTTGCATTAGTCTGTTCGTAAGCCTCTCTTAAAAATTTGAAGCCATTAACTGTGTCTTTAGTACTCATATTTACTGTCTCGTCGAAAAACCAACCATTTTCATGAATATACCAGTGTGTAATATCCATCGTAATGATATCTTCTAAGCCTTTCAACTTTCTCGTGATTATGGTTCGGTGTGCAAAAGGACAACCTAAGCTAACATACAAATGGTATCTACCTTTCTGTGCTGGAAATTGGCCAGATCCATCCTTAGAAACACGACCGTTAAAACTTGTAATTTTCTTAACACTGTCACTTCCTTGGTCAGACATTTTTCAATTCGAATTGAAAGCAATGCTATTTTACAAAAAACAAAACAGAAATCGAGAAGTTCTTTTACGCTGTATTAACCAGATATTTAAAGTAATAGGCCTGAGCTATGCATACGTAATACCTCACGTAAACGATAAAAATCAACTTTGATCGAGTAGCTTCGTCCAAATAGCACCAGAGAATTAAAATAGTGCACAAAAATGATCTGTACTAATATTGGAGAATCGTGCACTACCGTACCACCTATCAAAGTGCAGAATGCTTTGCAACTGCCCTCCTCGTTCTTTTGTCAATCTAATACGGGAATAATGCCGGCACAAAGTTTAATAATTAATTATGCAAGTGCTTTTGCAGTAAGTATGAGCAAAGTACAGTAAAATGGCAATGGGCGTTACGGCGCCGCTTCAGTACGTATAATACAGAAACGATTCGGAGGAGTTTGCAATTAATTATGCATGAGTTAAAATGGTAATAATTCTATAAGGCGAAGTAATATCACAAACTCCCAAGTTGGTCCATTGTAAAATGTTCTTACATCAAGATTTCTCTTTTTCATATCATTATATACTGTAAATTACTTATAGTATAGTAGGAAATGCTACTTCAAATGATTTGACTTTTTGTCTTGATCATTAATCTGCTATATAGTTGTTAAAATTTAGATTTTAAACCATAAAAAAATAAAATTTATATCATTTGGTCCTAAACTGAATTTTTTAAAGGCTCAAATAATACTTCTCGTTATTGAATTCATATTTTTAGAGCAGTTTAGGATTCTATTAGATGCAATAGGGAATATCTTGATAATTATTTTGACGTAGCGTTTACAAATAGATCTTATGTCGTTTAATTTGTCCTCTTTCATTACATATACCGATTTAATTAAACTAATTGAATTTGAAAGATTTGAACATTATCTCAGGCGTTAGTCAACTTCGAGGATTAACCATAACACAGTTAGTTAGACATAAAATTTGGTCATTATAGCCAAATTAATTGATTAACTGCGAACTATTGATATATAGACAGCCTATTATTTACCATAGATTCTGTTATAACGATGTTACACTTATGAATGACCAACTTAGATTAGAGAGTAAAATTGTTACCTTATTATTATTGTTGCTGAAAGCGTAAGGTCAAATTAAACTACTGGTTAATTTAAGATTGATTGAAATGGTCTTAAATTATCATTTACGCTAATATAGATACTGGGAATAGTAAACAGTTATTAATAATCTCGGTAGTTAAACCAATAGTGCTACTTAGTCAGGAATGAAATATAGGCGTATTTTGTTAGATTCTTTCCGGTAGTTGCTATCTTGAATGGTACTAAATATATTTAAGAATAAATTTCAAATTCAGCTACTAAAAAGTCAAGTAATAATATTGGCAAGTAAGAATTAGTACGTAGAAATGTTAATATCTGAATTGTATTTAGAGAAGTTGTGTATGCTAGATGTTGCCTATTTACAATATCGAAGAGTAACTGAGTACATACTGTACAAGTAATGCAGAGGCAATATACTCTAGTGTAGGCTAAAAACAATTAAGTAATTTGGTAGCTAGTTATATTACACTATTAGATGTTGTTACAACCACTATCTTTATGATCTAGCTGTTGATTGCAGCCATCGTC